TACTGACACTAAGAGAATAATTCGTCGAAGCTAGGCAGTTTTTCCTCAGGAGGTGAGAGCGATACATCTACTAGGCACAAGTCGGTCACAAGAGCCAACGAGTTGGGCATAGTCCCCAACCAATTGGCGAATGTCCCCAACCCAATAGTGAAAGTTCACAATCCGTTGACGAACCCCCCCCCAGCCTTGGTGAAGGACACTACTTATCAGCTCAAAAGCGTTGGATACGATATTGAATCAAGTTTATCTTCTGAAGAATATGAGCGTCTATTCAAGATCATCTAGATTACGAAGAGCAAAGGTCCGCCAAAGATACGGAAGAAGCAACAGCGATAAGTAAAACAGCTCCGAATGGAAACGTCGGTGCGTGAGGCAGATGCAATTGTTCAAGGTACACTCGTCCCTGTGAGAGACCTGAGACTCGTATGGAAGACACTTGCTCACAGCTACAATGTGGTCGATGCACTACCGGTGCAACACAGCATTACACAGGTTGACGCCCCAAAATGGAAATCTACTAATTATGTACAAAAAAGGGAAGGTGCATAGTCAAGTGGCAATTGGCTTCCCGAAAAATTATTTGACGAAGTGCCTTCCTGGTATAAAAACGTATCGGAAGGCATTGACAAGCGAGCATGACGCTGGTAAAATGGGAGTTACGATCACGAAACTAGGTACCTACACAGATAAGGACATTATTACGATGTTCAAATGGTAAGCGGAAATACCAAAACTGGATACAAACAGCGATTTGGCCTCCTAGCTAAGACTGTTGAAGTTTGTGTGTGTGGCATTGCTAACATCTTTCAGCAACTGTATCAAGGCTGGTATGAACGCCTATGCGAAGCCGTTACAAATTGTGAATGTGAAGATATCTGTGTCTACTCGCTTTGGGAGAATTTCTATTTATGAAGTGGCCCCTTTTCGACTTTCGGTTTGGCTTGATGACACTTGCTTTATGATCGCAATAAAATACATGATTTACCCTGAGGTCAGTGAGATTACCGACCGTGGAATCGGTGTAGTTAACCCATTGTTTGAACTCATGGCTTACGAAGACATCAAGCGTGAACTGATCGAATCGACGTCCTCGTTTCGTAGGGGAAAGAAATTTGTCCTAGTTCCGATCTATCTGGATTCACACTGAGGTGTACTGTTTTTGATTTGAAGACAACAAATTGGTGCTATTTGACCCAATGCAGACAAGGGCGCCCTATGTGTTAGATTCAGCTCACAAAGACTTCGAGTAGCAAGGTGACCGTGACAGCACGGCGTCACCAATACATGTCAAGCCATCGAGACTCACCTGTCTGGTGCCGGAAGTCCAAGATTTCCCCGTTACGTAACAAGTTGTCTGTGTGTGTTCGTATACTCTCTACAACAGGGTTACGAGCCCAAGATCGAGTAGAACGCGACGCTGTGCACCAGAGAACACTACAGCAACAAAATGTCTTCGTCTGACGATGAGGACGGTAAGAAGCACAAGAGCTTCAAGATTGGGTCGTCGGGCACACCGGTAAACTGGAACGGCGACGACTGGAGCTTCAACAATCATGACATGCTCAACGCGTTCGAGAAGAGTCTGCTGGACGAGATCGCGACTGGAGCAGCTACGGAGGTCGTCACGTGGGATCAAGAAAAGAAGGATGCGTTCAAGAAGAAGCAGGCCAAGATCAAGATCCTGATCCAGGGCTCCCTGTCGATGAAGTTGGCCAAGCAGGTGATATCGAAGAAAACAGGCACCGAGATGTGGCCGGAGCTGTGAACAATCTACGAAGGCAAGAAGAACCCGACCATGACAGCGCAGAAGGTGTACCGCCTGCAGGGCGAGCTACACAGGACTCGTCTGCGTGCAAATGGTGACGTGAGAGCCACCTCTACAAGTTGTTCGAGCTCAAGGATCGGCTCGAAGACTTGAAGTCTCCCGTGAACGACCTGCAGATGGTCGACTTAATGTTGCGAAGCCTGCCGACGAAGACCTGCTACAACGAATTGCGGCGGAAAGTGTTCTTCAGCTCAAACATGGGGAAGTACACCCCGGAGATGGTTCGAGAAATGGTTCTCACTGCTGAGTCACGCAGTAAGGACTGGGAGAACAGCGCTTTTGGGAACAACCAAGGCAAGAAGAAGCCTGGTAGTGCAGCTGGGGCCCTTAAAGGCAAGATGCAGACACTAAGTGATGATCCAAAGAGGAAGGCAGCTAGTACTGATTTTAGTTGTCGTCACTGCGGTGGTAAGGGCCACTACAAAATAAATTGTCCTGATCTTCTCGGAGAAGAGAAGCCGAGTGGAAGGAAAAATGTGCAGGCTAAGTACGCACGCTCGGGTGCGAAACCAACAGACGCAGATGATTGCACGCCCAAACGAAAAGTGGTGGTGGGCGAAGCTGTCAAATGGGCTGCAAAAGATTACGATCCGAATCAGTGGTATTTTGACACGGGTACAAATGCTCACATTGTGGCGAACAAAGAATACTTCACGGTGCCGCAGAGCATGAAGGACAGTGATGGAAACCCGACGATCTCGGGATTCGTAGATGGTGTTGGTGCCCAAGCAGAAGGGTTTGGTACAATATTACTGACTTCGATGATTGATGAAAAGATGGTGTTTGGGTTTGTGGAGGACGTGCTTTACGTTCCTAGCGCCGGATGGAATTTGTTCTCGCCCGGTTTGGCAATGGATCAGGGGTTCACGATGTCGTGGGACCAGGGCTCAAGGATATTTGGCATGGAGAAGGACGGCATCGAGGTGATCCGTACGACTCATGAACATCGACTCTGGACTTTCAACGCGCAAAAAATTGGAGGCAGAGTGACCAGTAAGAAGAAACGTGCAGTACAACAACAAGTTGTTGCGGACTTTGCTGTGACTGATGGCGTTGAAGCCATTGATGTATGGCACGAGCACTTGGCTCACACATGCCCAGAGTACATCTGCCTGATGGTCGACCGAGGAATGGCCAAAGGCATCATGCTGAAGAAGCGTGGAAAAGTTGACTGTGCTGATTGTCACTTCGGGAAGCAGCGACGCAAGACTTACCGCAAGAAGCTTGATCGCGAAGTCGAGTGGGTGAATGACTTGGTGTTCGCGGACTTGCTGATCCCTGGGCTGCAGAACGGAACACAATACAGTGCCGTTTTAGTGATAATGGACGCATACTCGCGGTTCGTGACGACGTACTTGCTGAAGTCGTGGAAGTGAACCCTCGTATACAAGAGTACCTTGCGTGGGCGGAACGTCAACACGGAATTCGCGTGGACAAAGAGGTGACCCGCGAGCTGATTGTCGACGCCGAGGAGGGCGACGCCGTGGATAGTGACGCACTAGTGCGGCGGGTCCTGACAGATAAAGGACAAGAGTTCTGTAATGGAGCTATGGAGCGGTGGTACAAGAAGAAAGGAATTGTACACACCAAGGTGGGGCCGAATGCTTCGCAGCTGAATCCTGTGGAACGCACCCATCAGACGTTGATCGGAATGGTAAAGATAATGATGCATCAGTCCGGACTCCCATCTTCATTTTGAACACATGCGTTAGAGACGGTGGTATACGTAAAGAACAGAGTGTTTTGCAAGGGTGCAGGATGTACGCCGTACGAGCTGATGTTCGGGGCGAAGCCCGACATACATCACGTCCGATCATTTGGTTCAGTGACGTACTGCCACACGCCCGTGTCAAAGCGGAAGAAGCTGAGTGTGAACTGCCACATTGGGTTCCTGATAGGCTACCGTGAAGACGTGGTCGAGTGTTATGTGTACTTCCCTACGGAGCACAAGAGAGGCTTTGTGTCAGATGTCAAAATCAACGAGCAGATTAAGTACAAAGACCGCTACCAGAAAGGCTTCAAAATGAAAGTTGATAAGTGGTTGCAGACTTTCGACGAGCTGAACAATCTGGTCGACGAGGACGACGATGAGGACGACGCCTCATCTCAGCAAGCTGAGTGTGATAATAACTCGGTAAGAAGTGACCCGCCCAGCAACGTGGTCATGGAGGATGCGGGATCTGAAGGCATTGCGAGCAGTGACCAGCGTGTGTGGGACGCGATGGTGCGAAACAGCACACCGTTTGATCTCGAGGCTGTTAGTACAGCAAGTGAAGTACAACTGCCGGACTACGAGAGTGACGTTGCGTTCGAAGAAACGCAGAAATTGCGGAAGTGTACCCGAGAACGAGTATGGAGACGCTGCCACTGAAGTCGAAGTAGATGAAGATGACCGTAGTGCCGAACCAAAAGAGATCGAGTCAGTCACAGAAAATCCCGATGAGTACAAACTTGGTGATGGTGTGAATGATGACGGAGAGTGCACACGCCACGTCACGGACCTCGTCGTGGTGGACACGGAGGACAATGGCTCATACGAGGTGGTGATTATGACTGCCTGTTTGATCCTGGTGATGAACGTGAAGTTGGGCATGAAGAACTAGAGTTTGCTACGGACAATGTGATTGGGCGACGACGTGTACGCGAAGAAGAAATCAAGCGTGCTTGTAAATCCAAGCGTGCCAAAGTTGACACGAAGCGAACGAAAAGCGATGCTCCCGCTCCACGACGACCTGAGCTACGTAAAGCACATGAGCGACGCAAGCGAGAAAGGTTTGAAGACTTCCAAGTCTATTCTGCACTCACAGCACTGCATGCCGATCGCCGTAGCGTCAACGGTATTCGCCGGAGCGACGTAAAGATCCCGCGTGACCAACGAGAAGCTGTTTGTTCAAAGTATGCATCGTTATGGGAAGCTGCCATGGACAAACAAGTGGATGCGCTGCGCGCAAAAGGAGTCTTGAAGATGGTTCCAAGGGATCAAGTGCCAAAAGGGCAAAATCTACTGAAGACGATGTGGATCTACGACCTGAAGGTCGATCACCTCGGCTACGTCATAGAATTCAGAGCAAGGATTGTTGGCAGAGGTAATTAGCAGCGACCTGGTATTGACTACTTGGATACGTTCTCTCCAGTCGCCGGGATGGCTACATTTCGACTATTCGTCGCGATCCCAATGCAGTTAAAACTGACGATCTACCAGGGCGACGTGAACACCGCGTACCTCAACGCGCTACTGGGTATAAAGCAGTACCTGGAGGACCTAGATGGGTACCCATGCGATGAAGACGGCATGGTGTACATGATTGACAAAGCTCTGTACGGACTAAAGCTGTCAGGTAGAGAGTGGAACACGGAAGTGAACGCGTGGTTCCTTTGATACGGCTTCCAGCAGTGCAGCACTGAGCCATGCCTGTACGTCTACGACCGTGACGGCGTTTTCGCCATCGTCCTGCTCTATGTCGATGCCATACTGTGTGCTACGAAGGACGCGGAGGTTGGGAAGAAGATGTTTGAGCAATTGGACCAGGACTACGATATTAAGGACCAAAGTATTGTGGTAAAGTGCGATCGAAATCTCGCGAGAGGAGCGAGTCCGGCTGCCAGATTGCGAGAAAGAGACGGACCAGACGACAGCAATCCCACTTCGGGCCACGG